AAAACACCACTGTTGGTAAGCAGAGATGAATTAGTCATTGGTGTGTTTTTCTGTATATACCTCGTGATACGAGGCATCCACTGTCCCATAACCAGTTCTAGAATGGTCGACGGGCAACTATAACCGGTCAGAGGAAGCAGCTGTTTAGTTTTAAAGCTTCAATCTCAATGTATACACGCATATGTACACGTTGCAGGGCAATGCATGTCTCGTGACTTGCAGCAACTATATATACGTGTACATATGCGTAAAACGCCTCCACTAAGTAAATTAATAACGTTGAATTAATGCCAGTTTATTTTCACAGTTAACTGCCAACGAGAAAGGTAGGTTGCCGTAAATTTATAATTTAGGGCAATCGACGTTTCAATTCGAGTGAAAGTGTTATAGACTGAAAATATTATGAAATCGAAATAAATTGCAGTTGCTCGTAGATGGAGGCCAAATGATAAGGGAAATGCTTGCCACGTGGTTTGGTATTTAATCATTGCCGTTTCGCGGAACAAAGAGATCGATGGGAAGGCAAATATTGGAACATACGGATTCGTGCCTCGCTGAACTCCAAAAAAAAAAAAAAAAATGGACTGTACACGTTTGTATAAATGTTGAGGAGGCACGAGTCAGATTACGAAGAGGGAAATTTTCAGATTTCGAAAGTTTCGTTGCCGCTGAATTTAATTGGAACTCAAAAGTCCATTTATACTAAATTAAATTTAATTTAAATTTAAAATGGTACAAATTTTATAAAAGTCCACTTATACTGAATTAAATTTAATTTAAATTTAAAATGGTATAAATTTTATGAAAGTCCACTTATACTGAATTAAATTTAATTTAAATTTAAAATTGTATAAATTTTATAAAAGTCCACTTATACCAAATTAAATTTAATTTAAATTTAACATAGTATAAATAATTTATAAAAGACTAATTTTAAGAAATTAACACTGAAAATGAAAATTAGGTGTAAAGCCGGCCAATTATTTTTCACAAGCTCAATATCGTCCGACAAATTTTTCGAATGTGAGCACTTGGAATCATTGTTCCATTATTTCCAAGTGACGTACATCAGAATCACGCGGATACGATTTCGAAGTTCAAATTCCAAAGACTTGTGCGTTGGCGAGTGAAAATGGCAGCATCCCAGCCTCTCATTCGTACTGATAATCTACTCGTTTATTTTCGTGGAAGTCGTCAGCAGCCAATGACATTGACCGAGTTCGAGGCAAGGTTCGCTTTTTCAAAGACGATTGGCCGTCCTTAATTTCCTCTAGAGTGCAGCTTGTTCAAGATCTACAGTGTAAACAGCAAAGTATCTGGACTACTGGAGTAACTTGCTCTTGTAACTAAATTAAATTACAGCACTTGAATTAATTTTCAAAAACCCATTCACAATAAATCATAAAAATCCGAGCAAGCTCTTTATCTTAAGATTCCTCGACTTCTGAATTATAATTCTCGTGTTCAGAAGATTCTTCTCCACTGACAGAAGGACTTTGGACGTACTGATATTTATGTAGTATTATAGAAATGTTCAATTTTATTTAGTTTGTTTAAAAGGAAGAATCTTCTTGATGTAAACGATAAGAAAATGATAGCAATAATGTTAGCAATAAACGCTAATATTAGAAGGGATGAGAAGGAAGAAACTAATCTCTTAAGAAGAGGCTAGAAACTATGAGATGAATGCCTCTTCAGTCTAATTTGTCTGTGCACTGCGGACCTAAATCTATTAGTTGAGGAGGATCAGAAGTCGACCTGATTGCAAATGCTATTTCCTACACTACATGCATATTCCATCGGTGACGTTGACGTGATCAAATCTTGATCAGGATAAGGTCTTAATATAAAATGGATTAGAGAGCCAAAGTAGATATTTCTGACGAAAAATGCTTAGCTCGAATATTCTACATCTAATTTTGATCTACATAGTTTTTCAATTAATAACTTCTAATCTATTGATTCCAAGAAGCTAGTGCATACATTCGTCATTAATTTCTATCAATCTCAAATATTATTAATAAAAGTTCATCGAGATATCCGAATATTACTGTGAACAAGCTGTGAATCTTTACATAAATTTACTTCTCCTAAACATGGCTAAGAAGATAGAAATTTTTGGTTTATTGGTTCAAAATTACAAGTATATTTTATATATATATATTTGCATAAAAAACGTCGGTCTGTTTAGACGCAAGTACAGCGTTACATCGTCATCAGCCGATTTGATCGTCCCATTGATAATCCGAGGAATTACCCGGCGCTGGAGATCCATCAAAAGACTTATAGATTGTTTAGTACGTTCTGTAAAGCGACTTAGGCAGTTTCAACACAAAAGAGAAGACTCCCTGGCATAGAGTGGCTCCATTCAGAGCGCTATTTCGCGATATAGCAAAGTTAAAGCGAATCTTTAAAGCGTGAACCAGATTCACCAAGGTCTGGCCTGAGCGCAAAGTTTAAAAGGCAAATAGCGCGGCGATATTTGTTTCTGGCTGAAAACTCCTGTTATCAGAAAGACTCCATTTGAGTTTTTACTCGTTATTTGCCGAGTGCGTCTTCATCGGGAAGCGAGCAGACGCGTGATTCGACATTTACAAGCAAAGAAACGTGTACATACAACGAATATACAGTTGCATGTATATATATATATATAGTGTGTACGGTGCGGATCAGAGGTAAACCAGGATGTTATTCCGACTCGTGATTCGTGTCATTAACATATATGTTAGTCGTATAATTAACTTCACAAACAGAATGCTTGATAATAGCGTAAATTGTTTGTACGTCGCGTGAAACTGCTAGGATCCTGACCTTGCTATGAAAATCAAGGTAATTTTAAATAGACACAGGTATGTTTCAGTGTGAGGATGACCATAACCGTCAGAGAAAAATTCGACGAATCTTTTGAATACAATACGTCACTGTCGTAATAAAATTTTACGGCGCGCGTTATTGAACTGAAGTTATAGAAAATACACAGGATTTTGCATAGGGTGCAAAAATGTATAACATATACAAAACAGAGTATATTTATCATAATTAGATTGAGGATTTTTCATGAGGTAATTTCATATTTTTACACGATTGAGGAAACGAAATACAGCAGAAATTTATTTCCGCTAAATATATATTGCAACAAATATTCTATCTTTGATATTTTATATATTATGTCCATTGTCTACATTTCTGTATTCTTAAATTTTCCATAAAAATCTTCTGTCAAAATACATTTCAAATTTTATAATAAATAATAAGTTGGATAATTTTCTAATAAACGTGTTGTTATCGAAAAAGTCGAGAATTTGTTCTTTTGTTGTTGTGTGACAAGTATTATTCGAAGAATATAACGTGGCCAACTCGTTAAAAGGAAAGAACTAAAGTCTGATAATGAAATACCAGACATTTGTGATATGCTGTGACAGTTCGAAAACAAACCTAGCCGACAGACAGAAATGTAAATGTATCAGCATGAATGAGAAAAAAACAGACCGATCGCTATGTCCGCACAGGTTGGAAAAAGCTTCTACTCCAGAAATAAAAATTGGGGACAAATTTTTTTTACTACGTCGTTTTAAATCTTTTGCTAGATATTAATTTTATATGTATATATATATATAAATGTTACGAAATCGAAATTTTTAATTTAATTCCAATATCGTTGGAAGTGCTATTTCTTTTTATTTTACACTCATACAAAATCTGTAATTGTAGAATAATTACAAAATTCAAATATTTAAACTTTGAATTTCATAATGGTACTTTACCAACAATCGTATGCTCACGCGTTAATAATATTAAATTATAGTATTTTTATCAAAGTATAAACGAAATTGAGATTAATAAAACGTATAATCTTTCTATTACCGATAAATGATGTAAGATTAAATTCGCGTGAATTCTCTGATTAATCTCAATTGAGATTAACGATCTCGGTGAGCCAACGATTATGACATTGAGTTCACTGTACCGAAAGGTCGATAATCAAGGTGTTGAATAATTCGGGAGTCGAAGATACTAAGCGCGCTCCGATTAAGAAAATTGTTGCGAACTTGCAACAGTGCAGTGACATTTCGGAGATCGATGGAAGAAAAACCAAAAACAGCAATCTCGCATCTGAATGTCTAGGTTCTATTGAAACTTCAAACGTGCGATTCTCCTTCTGAATTTTTCACGAAAGGAAGTCGTGGTTTATTTCATTTTTACGAATTCGCGGTAACTCGTAAATGCCATGGTCGTGCCTTTAGAAATAGCCTTTTTATCGATTCTGTTTAACAATGTGCGATCTCTCCATTCTTCTTCCTTTTTCAAATTTTCCTCTACAATATTAATACAGTCGACATTTCTCGCTCAATTCCATATGAAATAATACACCATTCATACGAAATGATATCATAACCGCTTGACGCTGCAATTAACTTAGCGCGTGATCACCGAGATGGTTCATTGAGCGGAAAAGAAAGAATCAGTTGCACGAATACTTTGTTTACTCACATGACTGCATTACATCACTTTCAATTTACTATAGGCGCGTTAAATATTCATAATTCAAATGACGCAGCTGAACAGTAGGTCGCGACTGATAGTTAGACGATCATATCGGCAATAGAATGTTTTACAATCAATTTTGCATCGCGTCAACCGCGAAAACTCCCCCCCAAAAAAAAGGTGCAGCAACGCCATCGCTGGTATTGTAAATCGCGGGTACGATGCCCCGGGGTTTGTTGCGCGATTTTACCGAAGCGACCCTGAAAACGATGTCCCCGTACTCCTCTTGAGGTCGTTGTTCGATCGATTCTCGTTCCTACTGACCAAACAACGACACGGGGGGAAACACACACGCAAAATAGAGAGAGAGATAGAGAAAAAAAAAAACGGCAAAAAAGAAAGGAGTAGGTATAAAAAGAAATAGCCTGCTAAGTATCTCAATGCTCGAGAGTCTCGTGGTTGAGACACCGAGGTGTGTAACGTTTGCCAATAAAGCGAGAGCTCGCCACACTCACCGAAATCGATGAACTGTTTTATCGAAAGCGGCGAGGGGTTGAACTGCGAGTAAAAGTCCAGCATCTTGCTGATGTTCCCGAGACACTTTTGCGTGAGCTTCATCTCGTCGTACGTCGTAACACATGAACTTGAATGGGGCCGTCGGCTCGGTTTCCCTTCGACCTGTCTCCCGCGAGAGTCGGAGCTCCGTTTCGGCGATGTTTTCTCGTTTAAAAAGCACGGCGAATACTGTCAGGCTGAATCTACTGCAGGCAGGTTGAACAGCAAGAGGCTTCCTCGCGTAGTACGCCGGCACGAAGATAGGAGACACCGCCGATCGCGATGGTTCGTGACAAGACTAGACGCTGATTACTGGCGTTTCAAGAAAGGCAGCCACTATATGCTTTTTCGATGTACGCGCGGTTGCGTATTGCCCGCGAGACGAACGAAAGTGGGATTGTCCGAGGCGCCACATTCGAAACATTAGGCTGCTTCGTTGTTTTCTTCGTGACGATTTTAGTCGTAATTGTTCGAAAAGGATTGCGAGCTCGCGGGATTTTTAGAACGACGAAGGAGCTTGATGATTACATGCCAAAGTAAATTGCAGCATCGAGTTACCATTTTACTATGTATATTTTCGAGAGAATTTCCGTAGACTTTATATTTCTGAAAATGTGAATTTTATAAAGATAGATCGTTGACGAGATCGAAATAAGATAAATTTCATAAGTATTTTATGGATTTTATACAACTTATATGGCAATTAGAAAAGGTACTACTCAGGTAGTACTTTATGATGCGGAGGTAATTGGTTGTAAAACTATTTTCGACTAATATAAGACGACAAGCCGCTTATATTCTAAATTATGTCGAGTTTTAATAAAAGTTAATAGTACCATAAACCTTTGCTTAAGCCTACAGGTAAGTTTGGTGAGAACAAAGAAATAAACGTACTAATGACTCTCCTCAACTACCTTTTGCTTTCTACGTTATTGTAACTTTACAAAAACGTATTTAATACTATACATAATCATTAAATATGAATTAGCATACAGAATTCTTTCTTTCATTTTACTTTTCTAAAGAAATTCGATAGTACATAGAATTCATGAAAGAAGAAACATTAGGCAGAATAATAAAACTCCCCGGACCTTCATGATCCCTGGAAGGGATAATCTTGTTACCTGAGGATAATAAATAGAGCCCGGCAGTGAAGACTGACATTCATTTCGACGCGAGCGATCGTACAAATCGGACGTACTGCAGCTCTTTCGAAAGTTCACTTACAGTTACATATTTGCACGTATTTGAAAATTTGAGTGTCATTTCGTATTCCGGAAGTGGTGAGAGAATACGTGGCGCCGCCGACGGTGCACGCCGTATACGCTAACCGTGGATCAATTAACCTCTGCTCGAGTCACGTTTTCCGCATATATTACGTCTTCCGACGATTTACTCGTTCCCAGTATCGATTCGCGAGTGATCTAACGACCGAGCTTTCTCCATCTTCGACGAAACGATCGGAATAACGTGACAATTGTGAAACACGCGACCACATTTCGAGGTTAGGTGGCCCTTGGATTTTTTGCGTCGGTCTTCTGCTAGACAGTCAGCGCCACATATTCGCTCAAGAGGACAATTCCCCGTCGTTTCGCGTAGTTGAAACGACTTGAAGCGACGATAAAGCTGCATTGCCGGATCATCCGATTTCTTTGAGCATTTTATACGGTGCTGAGCCATTTTAGTGAAAGTCGACCCCGCATTCGGGAATTCCATTGACTTCGAAGTGACTGGCTGATTTCCGGTCAAGACAAGCCCATGTGGACAGCAGCAGCGGTGCCTGAGATCATTCTGTGCTAAGTCCTACCCTCGTGTTCCCGTGGAGAAAGTTTGTCCGAGGAAGTAATCGCGCGTGCACCGCGACCAGTGATCGCAGCATGGCTGATCTGGACGATTTTTTCGCGAAAAAGGACCGCAAAAAAGCGAAGGGGAAGAAGTTCACGACCACGGAGGAGATAGCGAAGAAATTGGAAGAGACGGGCAAACGTTTGGGGAAGAAATCGAAAGATAAACCAGTGAACCCGGAGGGCGAGGAGATTCAACAAAACGAGGTGAACATTCGTTCGTTCTGCATGTGCATGTTCGTCCCTCTTTGTTCCCACCGTTCGCGATTCTCGCCTCGCGAATTGTAAATCGTCCACGCGAGGCTGCCAATTACCGTGTGCCATAGGTCGCTGCCATATTTGTTCTTGCAAACGTCATTCTTATCATTACCAAAACTAATCTGCTTGCTTGAGCCCCGTCGAGTCTAACGTGATTCACATTGCCTCGTTGTTCAGCCGTCGGTTTGTTTGTTACATAATTGGATTGTTACGCGGCCACGAATATTTTTCATTGTAAACTCGCCGAAACAAAGCAGCTGTTCCGCGATTATTGTCGATGCTCGATGTTGTTTCGACTAATGATTCTAGTTTTCTAAGGCGAAGTGCTCTCACACGATGCATTCCACTTTTTTTTTTCTTTTTTTTTCGTAAACTTGAATGAAACAATTAACTTAATGTAAAGTATGTTTTGTAATATATCATGTGTAGAATTTTACATGTTTGACATTTTACATTTTTTTAGGATGAGGATGAATGGAGAGAGTTCGAGGAGGAGAAGAAGGACTACACTGGCTTGAAAATTGGAAACTTAACGATGAACGAATCTATAGATGCTGAATCTGACGACGAGAAGGGTACAGGTGACAATAGCTCAGATGGAGAGTCAGGAGAGGGTGGAATCAAACATTCAGGCCCCTGGAAAAAGCCTGAACTCCCTCCACAACCAGAAGTGACCGAAACAGCAGCCCCACCGCCGCCACCACCTGTTACTTCAGGAAGTAGTTATAAGCCTCCACACTTAAGAAATATGCCAGCGGTAGCTGCTAGTCCTAGACAACGAGCAAAAAATGTTGCGCCAGACATACACAGTGAAGAATACTTTCCAACGTTGAACTCCAAGCAGCAGCAAAGCAACGAACCTAGCGGACCATGGGGCAGACGGTATGTGTCAACATGTTCGTTTCCAAATAAAAAAAAAGGAAAAAAGATAGGGAAAAACAACGGGCAAAAAATAATATCGTTTTAGGAAACGAGACGAAGGTACGTTCGAAGAAGTACGTAACCGAGGTGGAAGCAGATCGTATACCGTGCAGGATGCGCAAGCTCAAGCACCGAAGCTGTCTCTGGGCAACAAGTACGGTGCCCTGTCGCAAGATCAAAGCTGAAATCATCTTTGACTCAAGCAAACGACAAACACAATCATCATTATGTTACGTCATCGCCTCTCTCCGTTTCGTGGCCCAGCTGCGCTATCAAAATATGTTTTCTAGGATATAGAACATACGACGAGAAAACGTGTACGGATAGGATGCATCGTCGATTCACGTACCGTGCCCTAGCTTTCGAAAAGCCCGGCGCCAGTCCGAAAAAAAAACAAAATAGAGAAAAAGAAAAAAAACGAAAGGAAACATCGTTTCGTTCGACGGGAGATCTCATCTCTGCTATCGTGACACCGGAATGTACAATCTCTTTCGCGAAAAAGCGATTCGTGCCCACCCGGTGGATTTCATAAAGAAACGCAAACGTTTATTTTTCATACGAGGAGAACATGCTCAAAACACACAGACATATACACTACATGTAGCACCAGTTTTATATTTAATTTTTTAATCTACATAATAGAAAGATGAATGATCTATGGGGGGAGAACAGTGATGAAATGCCGCGAGTATTTTCGTGGCGGAGCGGAAATCGAGATAGAACTCTTGTATATTCGCGCAAAACGGTGTTAAAACATTGCGGTTCATCGCGCGAGATATCCGCGCATTCGTATTTGCACACGGTGCTGCTGTTTTCGTTTATCGTGCCCGCATTCGCATCAGTCGATCGTTCGCCTTCGAAACGTCACGGAAACACAAATTGAAATACTTGGATATTCAAACACGATGTCTTTTTCAAACGCATATGGACTATTGCTTTATTTTCTGTGTTACATAAAAGGAAAGAAAGTTACTACATAAAAAGACGTCGCGTTTGAGTGTCCAAGTATTAGTAATATACATAATTACTTCGAAATAATTGAATTTCGGGGCTGGGCTTTGGAACGGTGCGGAAACATTGATATATGTATACATCGATAGGATTGCATAGAGAAAGAATAAACAGAGGAAACGTATACGCGAACTATAATAGACCGGATAAGTTGAATCGAAGAAACGCAATGTAAATGAGAGATGTTTGCGCGTATGCGTAAACGAATGTATAATATGAAAAAAAAAAGAATAACAGAAAGACGTATGTACCCTTTTGTTAACGCTTGTTTAATTAGTTTTGTTGATTTAGAGACTTCTTTTGCGAAAAAGAAATGAAAACGAGAGAATGGTTGGATAGAGAGATAAGAGAGGAAATCGTTGAGATTCTCCTGTGTGATATCAGGGGTTTGCGGGGTGCTAGCGCTGTTATTTTTTTGATGGTGAACAAAGCGAGACACAGATAGGGGGAGAAAAGAAGATTAGACTCGAGGGAGGAGAATGGAAGTGAGCCATACATGCAGAATCGAGGAAACGAAAATAAAAAAAAAATAAAAAAAAAAAACGGAGCCTTGAATAGTGATCTATAAAGAAGAAGAAACAAAAATGAAAGGATGTGATTATTTATAATAAATTTCCTAGGACAACTTATATAAGTACTGCCTTAAGCATTTTAATTTCGCGACCATCAAATGTTGTGTCGGTGATCTCGCGACTGGCTCTGAAAATACGGAAAAACTGCGAAAAGGATTATGTTCACGCTTAGGATGGGTGTGATTTATATTACCTGTTCGCGCGATCGACCGTCACAGTCGTTCTATCTCGAGGATCGAAGACACTTTTCACGGGCATTTCCACGTAGAAATACGCAAATTCCATATGCGAGAATCTAAAAGTTGTTTGTTCAGTCGAGTCGATCCGTTTGTTCGTTTCATAATTCGTGGCCATGTAGTTATTCCTTCACGTTCGTTGTATTTATAAATATAAATTCAGGATACACTGGCCCATGAAAATTATTTGAACACTTTTATGCATATATCGTGCATTTTATACAAAAACATTTCGAAATTTCATCGGCATTATAATAAGAGAAGACTGTTATTATTATTGTATTGATAAAAATCTGAAATTTCAATTTGAAATTGTATGTAGAAGTTATGTATTTATTGCGAATATATGTATATTTAGTAAAACAGAATTAGTATACATCGTGAATAGTAAGCGTTCCACTGAACATTGTAGTTCATTAATGTAATGGATAATTTACTATTCGAATACTCTGTCTTCTAGTCTCAGATTTGTTTTATATCTATATAATACGATAAACTTAGAAATACAAAAAACGCACAGATTCTATTTCCTTGCTTTGAAAATACAAATTCGCATGGAAATCCGTAATCCTAATGTTCATTACAGTGCTAATGAAATTTCCAAGTGTATCGCACATAATATAATATATTCGTAGATTTCTATAAGTGTTCAAATACCATAACGGGTTACTGTATTTTAATAATTAAATGGCCCTAAATGTAATTCTATCGTTTGCCTTCTATAATATGTATGAACGAACTGATCGACCAACTCTTGACTTACTGTATTAAGATAACCAATCTTCACTGGTCGATCGATTTTAACAGAACAGTTGAGAATAAGAATCGTGGCCAATTTTAAGGAGAGCGGCGAGGATTGGTGTATTTTAATTCAGTAAATAGTAAAATCGAATGTCGTAAAATATGAAGCCGCGCGAAGACGATGTATAACGTCATTGTCAGGGTAACGTGGACTTCGCCTGCCCTTTGTTACAGAATAGTTGAAATAATTTTATCGTGACTGTTGTTAACAGAGAGAGAAAACGACAGAATGACCGAGTAAGCGAAAGAGTGCGCGAAAGAGAGTTGCAACGTGGCGAATAATGAATTAATATAATAAAATAACAATGAAAACGATACAGTTGAACAACACGATATACTTTGTTTCCGATGACATTTCTTGCTCTTGTTTCATTTCTCATCATTATGCGATATTTTCAACGAAACTCGCAATACTCGTGCCCGATTTCTGTGGAATTAATAATAATAAAAAAAAAGAGAGAGAAAGAGAAAGGGAAAACTGTCTTTTGCAAATAGTAGTTACGCATTACGCTAATATACGCGAGGACATATTGCAAGATATATTTTCGAGAATATACATAGGCACTTTTCATTGTTAAACGAATTTTTCAGCTCGGTTTACGGTAAATTCATAATAGGCGCTTCAATTGTTAACTCGATGCGATGGAAATTAACGAAAGAAGGTACGACTTAATCTTCTGGAGTCCTCTCAATTGTCTTTAGAATAGAACAAAGGAATTCGAATGGTAAATCTCATCAATTGTAGAAAGACATTATTAGACTGCAGAGGATTAAATTTCAGTGATTTCGAATGACGAAAGAATCTTTTATTAACTATCACGATTGACAAACGTTACGTTGAAAACGTTCATACGATGATGAGGGGGGAGGGCATCATGTTTTATGCAAAAGAGCTTGGTCAAAGCAGGTCTTCCGGCCTTACTGTACTCTCCTCGCTGGAAACAAATATATTTCAGGGGATAAAACTATCACTGAACTTCCCTTCTATGATCGTACGAGGAGTCGCGAACATACTTTTCGCAATATTTGAGCCCATGGCTTCCCTCGTTGCTATACGAACTGTACATGGGACTCTCCAATAACGATGCCCTGAACCTCGGTAGAAAATATATCCAGACCTTTGTCAAGGTGCTGATCTGAGAACAACAAGTTTGATAATAAATTGAGCAGATTAATTTAATAACAATTGCGTGTATTGATTGGAGCAGCATACTCTAGCACTTTAGCCTTTTGTGTTTCTTTGAGTTGAGTTTTAAATTAGCAATTTTATTTTAAGAAGGGGCAACAAATAGCCGTAAAATGTCGAAATGAAATATTTATTCGAGAAGAGTACCGTGTCAAAGTTGGTGCTCGCTTTGGCCTTGGCCTCCGGAGCGATCAGCACATTTTCTTCTGATCGTTCGTAAAACGTTGGATGTTCTTCCAGTTCGTCCAACTTCTTTAACATTTGCGTGTCGACATCGTACACCTCGCCAAATACATGCTGTTTAAGAAAAGAGACACAACAGAGTGGGTAATTTGACTTTGAATTGTCATTGAAAATAATTTACAGGCTTAATTCAAACGCCAAACGTTAAAAATTACTGTGTTAATTTTCAATTAAATTTAAAGCAATTAAAATTCTCGGGTTAGTGACAACGTCAATGTTTGTATTATAAAATACAAGCTCGAAATGCTGAACCCAATTCAATGAATAAATTTGGTAACTCACAGATAATTTAATGTAAATTAATAATTTAAATTATAAATAAGAATGTTCTTTAAAAGAAAGTTGTGCCTACGACAATGAACAATGGATAACTTCGCCATCTACTAACAATTCGATGAAACTAGTTGGACAGTGATATTATCTTAATCGATAACATTCAACTCTGCAATACTCACATGACCAAAGCCAGGTTTCTTCAACAAAAATGGAATATTATAATGAGTTGCAATTATTAATGGATATGGAATAGTGGTTTTTCCGAGTCCCAAGAACTTTGCATACCCATTCGAAGTGTCTTGGATCAAACTGTGATTCGGTTCTCCTCGTTTTAGTGTCCCGTATACGAAGACACGGTGTAGAGGACTCTTGAACAGGTTTTCATACATTTTGAATTTTAAATCGTGTTCCAATTAAATTAAGAAACTATCGTGAAGATAACTGTTCATCTCGTTTAAAAGTAAATTTTTTTATTTTATTTGGGAAATTCCAATTGCTGTCGGTAACGATTTACAACAAGTTTCAACACTTTTCGAAGAGATGGTACTAGTAACAATTGTAAGAAGTTAACTTCCCTATCGATAAAAATGTTCGATAGGTTTGAGTACTTTTCAAAGAGATGTCGCCACTGATTAATAGTAAAAAATTTTGGTTATGGCAAACGTTCTTTTCTCAAAGATAACAAATTATTCGTCTTAATTCACAGTTCACCACAAATTAATAACTTTTATATAGTAACTTTCACGAAGTAGTTCCGTATGCTTATATAAAATTAAAATCACTGGATTACAAGAAATATATCAAAAACAAATTACGACGACACACCCGAGAATATCGCAGATGCTCCAACACCAGAGGTCATGCTTGTTTACCGGATATAGATGTTACCATCGACTTTACCACACTTCCGGTATTCATTTGAGATAGAAAATAAAAAATATAACTAGAACATTATATATAGGACTTTGTAAACAAGATAAGTTAGTATTCTTCCACAAAATTATCTACGTTTCTTCCCTTCTTTCGATATGCGTGTAAATAAATTAATATTCATTTAGTTACCTTGCGTTATAATCATCTACAGATAGCATTAAATTGTTCTCGCTGTGAATTTCAAGAATAATATGGAATAACTAAATAATTCGTGCTGGCAATGGTCGTGAAAGTTGAATAACGTAAAATTTCGTTGGTTTTACCTTGTCAGATAGTAATTTATTGTCCGCAATGTTATCAGCCAATTCATAGAACGAGTAGATCTCCATAAACGCGATATTCGTCAGCAGTGCCGCGGCAGCAATGTGAAACAACATTGTCGCAAATTGGGACAAAAGGAAAATCACACAAGGAATGTATATGACTAGACCTAGCACCTTACGGGGTTTCGTGGCCGGAGATCTGAAATACCGACATAGTAAAAAATCTGTAGGATACACGTAGTAGGTAATGTAGAATCCTACCACGGGTTCTCACATAAATAATTAACACAGATGAAATTTGAATAAATATATATATATATTTTGGTATACACACTTTGGTATAAATTTTATATCACAGCACTCGATTAGCGAACGAAAACTTGTACTCACAGTAAAACGCAGAAGGCGGAGAAGGAGAAGGACTTTTCCTCTTCGCAATCTGGCTTTATAGCCACTGCTTGCGAAGAGGGGGAAAATCTTTTTCCCGCCTTTTTCCGGCTTTTCCCGGGCTTTTATTTTTTGCTCGGAAAAAGGTGTCGCTGCCTGTTTTATTGGAAACGCACCTTTCGACGGAAAGTTCCTGCGGAAGTACGTGGCGCTATCTGGTGTTTCGCGGAGGTAGCGGTCGCTACAAATCTCTGGTTTTTAGCGCACTCTACGAAGAAGAACGGTGAATTAGGGAATTACATTAAGTAAAACGATCGAGATTGGTCAAATAGTGAATACGTCAGGAATATGATTTTTTAAACACATTACAGCGTTGTTAAACTTTCAATACCGAAATGTAAAGCTAGTAACTAACCGAAATCATTTTACTACATATATGTTAGAAAGTGCTATCCATGTTTTGCGGATTTATCACGACTTTTAAATAGCACACTAGTGCAACCCTTATACTATGTTTCTAGGAAAAATGTAGAACAAGATGATGGTCAAGATAGGGTTATATAAGAAGCTAGATTCATCAGTGGGGCTAATGGCGGTGATACCTGCCCCAGATGCTCGGTTTGTTAGGAACTTTTAGAATGAGAATGGATGATCACCCATCCTAGAAATATTACGCATGCTGTACCTGCAGATCGCCTGATCTTAGGCTAACAATAAGCGACATCTACTTTTAGCTTGTGGTTTTCGTATCTTGAAAACTTCTACATTAAGCATGACTGCGTGTGTTGGCCACCACTTGCAAATTTTCGAAAATTTTTCAAAATAAAGTGTGTTTACATCAAAAAAATGTAAATAAACATTGGAAACCAAAATAAACAGACCAATGTTTGCAAAAAAAACGAAATTTCAAAGTTTTCGAAATTCCGATTTCAAATTTTCGAAAATTTTTCAAAACAAAGTGTGTTTACATCAAAAAAATGTAAATAAACACTGGAAACCAAAATAAACAATCGAAACGAACACTGGGAACCAAAATAAACAGACCAGTGTTTGCAAACAAAGCGAAATTTCAAAGTTTTTGATGTATATATATATTTCAATTGCTGTAGTTTACTAAGTGATCTATTATGCAATGAAATCATCTACAACACGTGTGGACAGTTCATACTAGGTAAGTATGGGTAAGTATTCGTATGTTAAATTAGTTTTAAGTGAATTATTATGAAATCATTTCTAACACTTGCGGATAATTCGTAGATACTAGGTAAGTATAGGTAAGTATAGGTAAGTATACTTGCAATCGGAATTTTGAAAACTTTGAAATTTCGCTTTGTTTGCAAACATTGCTCTGTTTATTTTGGTTTCCAATGTTTATTTACATTTTTTTGATTGTTT